GAGATGAGGTCTCACTCTGTTGCCCAGGCTGGAATACAGTGGTGAGATCACAGCTCACTGCAGCCTTGAACTCCTGGGCTCAAGTGATCCTTCCATCTCATCCTTCCGAGTAGCTGGGACCACAGGTGCGCGCCACCACACCCAGCTAATTTTTAAATTTTTTGTGGAGACAGGGTCTCACTATGTTGCCCAGACTGGTCTCAAGTTCCTGGCCTGAAGCAATCCTCCTGCGTCGGCCTCAAAGTGCTGGGATTACAGGTGTGATCCACTACACAGCATCGTTTTTAAAATTTTTTATTTGTATATATTCATGGGATACAAGTGCACTTTTGCTATGTTGATATTATTGTGTTGTGGTGAAGACAGGGCCTTCCGTGCATCCGTATCTGGAGCAACACACATTTTACCCACCAAACAACCTCCCATCATCCACCCTCCACCCCACACCCTGCTGAGTCTCCATTGTCTATTGTTCTACCCTCTGCTTCCACGTGCGCATGTTGTTTACTCCCACTTAGAGAACCTGCCTTACTTGTCTTTCTGTGTCTAATCTGTTTCACTTAAGATAATGGTCTCCACTTCCATCCATGTGGCAGCAAAAGACATGATTTCATTCTTTTTTATAGCTGAAAAGCATTCCATTGTGCATACGCACCACATTTTCTTTACCCCGTCCTCCATTGAAGGACGCCTGGGTTGGTTCCCTGTCTTTGCTATATTGAATAGTGCTGCAATAAACATATTAGTGCAGGTGTCTTTTTTATACATTGATTGCTTTTCCTCTGGGTAGAGACCCAGTAATGGGATTACTGGATTGTATGGTAGTTCTATTCTTAGTTCTTTGAGAAATCTTTGTACTGCATTCTGTGGAGGTTGTACTAATTTACATTCCCACCAACAGTGTGCAAGGGGTCCCTTTTCTCCATGTCTTCACCAACGTCTGTTATCTTTTGTCTTTCTAGTATAGCCATTCTGATTGGTGTAAGATGATCTCTCATTGTGGTTTTAATTTGCATTTCTCTGTTGATTAGTGATGTTGAACATTTTTGCATTTATTTGTTGGCCACTTGTCCTTTGAAAAATGTCTATTCATGTCCCTAGCCCACATTTTAATGGGTTATTTGTAGGTTTTCTGTTGCGTTGAGTTCCTTGTAAATTCTGGATATTAGTCCCCTGTTGGATGCATGGTTTGCAAGCATTTTCTCCTATTCTGCAGGTTGTCTGTTCTCTCTGTTGATTATTTATTTTGTTGTGCAGAAGCCTCGTAGTTTAATAGGTTCCGTTTGTCTATTTCTGTTTTTGTTGCCTGTGCTTTTGAAGTCTTAGTCATGAATTCTGTGCCTAGACCAGTGTTCAGAAGAGTGTTCCCTAGGTTTTTTTCTAGGATTTTTATAGGTTCAGGTCTTACATTCAAATCTCTAATCCCACTTGAGTTGACTTTTGTATATCGTGAGAGACAGGTCCAGTTTCATTCTTCTGCAAATGACAATCCAGTTTTCCCAGCACCACTTATTGAAAAGGGTGTCCTTCCCCAGCGTATGTTCTTGTCAATTTTGTCAAGGATCATTTGGCTCTAAGTACACGGCCTTATCTCAGGGTGCTTTGTGTGTTCCATTGATCCAGGTTTACTGGCTTTATACCAGTGCCTTGCCATTTGGGTTACTGCAGCCTTGTAGGATAATTTCATTTGAAGTCAGGCAGTGTGGTGTCTCCAACTTTGTATTTTTTTCCCCCAAGATTGCTTTGGCTGTTCAGAAACTTTTTTGGTTCCATATGAACTTTAGAAATTGTTTCTTCTAAATCTGTGAAAAATGATGCTGGTATTTTGATAGGGATTGCATTGAACCTGTAGAGTGCTTTGGACATTATGGTCATTTTAACAATATTAATTCTTCTGATCCGTGAGCATGGATGTTTTTCTCTTTGTTTCATCTGCAGTTTCTTTCATCAGTGTTTTGCAGTTTTCCTTGTAGAGATCTTTCATCTCCTTGGTTAACACATTGACTGCCACAGTGTTTTATTATGAAAATAGAATAAAAACTTTGAAAACAAAATAATCTTTTCTAATTTAATGAAAAAAAAATTTTTTAAAAAAAAAATATTATATTTTTTTTTTTTTTGTTTTTTTTTTTTTTTTTGCATGTAATTTGAGTTTCCCAGTTTTTCAAACTAGTGTTGTTGTGCAGTTGCGATTGGCAGGTTTGCGTATTGACCCATCACATTAACTGCCTCTCACCACACCCACAGGCGATGATTCTAAGGGGAAGAAGCACCTGGAAACACACACAGCCACCCACCCGCAGTGTCCACGGCCGCCAGGGCTGGCAGGGGCCCTCTGGCACGTCTGTGCTTGTGCAGGTTGTCTCGCGCGCGTGTCTGTCTGTCCACCACGCTTCTCAGCGCCTGCTCTTCCTTGCTGGGTTTGTGTTGGGACCCAGGTGCTCTAAGGCCATAAAGAACTTAAAACAAGGAGAGTCTCTCTCCTGAAAAGCTTCTCTGTGAATTCATTTAGTATTAATTTAATGTATGAAAAGCAATTTATTTGAGGTGAGATTGAAAGTTTTGAAAAGGCAAGTTACTAATTACCCTCTTGTGTTGGACTATGACCGGTGAGAAGCTGCCTGCCCCTCAGTTCTGTGGCTGGGAGCACCACACGCGTTAGCTGCTGTCCTGTCCCACATTTCGTAACAAGGAAGTTTGTATTAAAATGTTAGGTGTTTCCAGTCCATACCTGAAGCTTTCTTGGTGGAGGGACACCCTCTTTAGGTAGATTTTTTCCCTTTAAAGTTGAGCTGAAAAAATAACTGTCTCTTAACTGCTAATTAATAAACATAAAGCAATTAATTTGAAAAAATGCTCTTATACCATGTTTCTTTGCTTATTAGCCACATTGGAATTACTTATAGTTTCAGGGGTGAACATGCAAATTGTTAAATCAATGTGAGTACATAATTTCCAGCAATTACTCTTGGAAAAAATGAAACAAAATTGATTTCATAAGCAGTTTTCTGTTTTATATAATATGTGATGTTTGATATCAAGTTTGTTGTATTCTGTCATCCAGTGACACTGTCAGTTACCATTCTGAAATATTTCTTCACTGGGAAACGTCAGCCTTTAGAATAATTGTAATTTGGGCCTTTGAGTAATCACTTTCTCACCTAAAATGTGAACTGCTGGTGTCTATGAATTTCAGTTTGCTTTGGAATATTCTATTTTCAATATAAATTCTGCTGGCACCAACTGCCAGCATTTACAGGGTAGCTTCCAACCACCAACTTCCTCTTGGGTTTTGTAAGGAGAATCTGCATTTTACATTTTAAGTGTCTGCAAGCACTTCTGCAGAAGTGAATGAAAACTATTTATAAAAAAACCCAGAATTTTCATAAGTTAATGTCAGCAAGTATCTTGCTTAGACTTAAAATAGTTTTTTTTTCCCTTGAGACTCTTGACTTACTAATGTGGGAGAGTTTTGGTAAAAGTGTGACATGGGAGTTTCTGTTGCACTGTCAGTGCGAGAGCTGGCTCTCTGGTGTCTGAGTGTGCCCTCCCGCACACATCTTCTCTGCCACAGGTTACTTCCTGATGCAGATGCTGCGAAGGATTGGAGCTGCAGGCTGGTTTGTGTCCAGGACGGTGTGGTCGGTCCTTTGGCTGGCCTTGGTCGCTCCAGGTGGCTATTTTGGGTTTCTGTGTTAGCATTCTCTCCAAAGCTTCTGGCAGTTAAGCACCTGCAGTAAATGATTTACCTAACCAAATACAAATTTCATTTTAGGTTCCCATGCTTTCATCCTTAATGTAACATGTTTCATTCTTTATTACTTAGAAGTGCTAACATTCTGTACATTTGATTGCATGAGCATCCTTTGTTTCTCTGGTGTATTGGGTTTGCGTAAGTCTAGCTGCTTGATTTCAGTGTAACTGAGAATGCACAGACTTGATGTCTCGTCTCCTGTATCTCCTTTTGTGTGTTTATCAGCATTACATGTTGCTTTTCCTGCCATGGTGGCTAGCATCATTTTACCGTACTTCATCTCTAACGTCATCTTTTAGTAAATTTCCTTGGCTTCTAGCTTGGCCTTCACAAAAACAGTCCATTTAGGAGGTTGGTTTTGCCAAGAATATTTCCTGAGAATGTTTGGTGTTTTCTCTTTTAGGGAAGGCAGTCTCTGGAGTGTTCTGGTGGCTAGGGATTGGATGGTACCAGTTCGTTACTCTGATTTCTTGGCTGAATGTGTTTCTTCTTACAAGGTAAGGAAACTGATGTCATGTCAACTTGGTGTTTTAAAGAACCAATTTTGTGCCAATTGCAGGCTATCATTTGATTTATTATTTTATAATGATTTAGCTTATATTTGCATAGTTTTGTAGTTTTATATTTTACACATTGCTTTCATATACTGAATTTTTTAAACCAACCTTTGAGGTAGGCGTGGCAAGCATGGCTAGGAAACTAGAAGTGTGCCTAGGGGAGGCAGTGGAAGCTGGCATGGCTGGGAGGGCCTGGACACAATAGGAATCTGGTCCCTGCGACTGCAGCCTGGGTGCGGTTCCCAGGGCACCAGTGGCCTCAGTGGGGCCGGTGATCCCAGGTGGATGGAGATTCAGGGCACCTTGGGCCTTTCCTGGAGCACCAGTGTGCACCTTGCCCAGAGTCGGTGAATGTGTTGGTTGTTAACATTGGGCCTTGAGGATGCTGTTTATAGGAATGTTCTCCTGTAGGTATCACAAACCTTGTAGATAAAACTGTAACTGCATTTCTAATGGCGGGGGGTGGTATAAAATTCTCTAGAGATGGAAAGTAGAATGGTGAACCTGCCTTTTACTTTTTCCAAACTAAATGTTTTCGTTTTTGTTCCTAGGTGCCTTCGGAATTTTTGCAAGTTTTTAATTTTGTTCATCCCACTATTACTTTTACTAGGTAAGTAAAATTTGCCTTAGTTGCCTTGACACACATATGTATGTATCTGAGATAGTGAAAAAATCGAGTATTTCAGTACATTTTTGAGAAGCAATGTATGTGGTTTCTCCTTCAGCAGGTCTCTCCTCATGGGGCCAGGGCGATTTCCTTTCATTCCTGCCTGTACTGAATTGGACAAACATACAGAGAACACAGAGCGCAGATGACCCCAGGAACATATTTAAACCTGAAACTTCTCACCTGAACCAGCCTCCACAGGTAATCAGTCAGAAAGTCCTCTTAACTGGCATTGCAAATATGTATTCTCCAGGGTAAGTTTTCATACTATGCATGATCAGGGTAGTTCCATTCGGGTGCCCTAGTTCAGAAACTATTGTTAAATGTCAGAGAAGCAAGTTTTATAGCTCCTTAAATGTTCTCAAATAGTTTAAATAATGTACATTTAAAGTAATCTCACTATGCAGTTTTAATTTAGAAAACATAGTAGTATTCATGACTGTAAAATAGAGAAAGAATAAAGAAGAAAACAAAAACCACTGTCATATCACATAAGGACAAACACTAGTAATCAAGGTTTCATGGACTTCCCCTGAGTGTGTTGTGTGCCCTGTGGTTGGCACTTTGCTGTAATAGACGGTTTTGTGTCTCTGACTGACCCTGTTCTATGGTCATTTGACTGCTGGGTTTGGTTTCTTGTTTGCCATTTCAGGGTGACAATGAGGCTTTTCGATGGCGTTGGACACATGACATGGAGCAGCAAGTGGCCTCTTTATCTGGACAGTGCCACAGCCATGACGAGAGGCTCCAGGAGCTGACAACTCTGCTTGCAAAACTGCAGGGTCAGGTGGACCAGATGGACGACGGCAGGGCTGGGCTGTCGGCCTTGGTTAGAGACGCTGTGGGGCAGCACCTGCGGGAGGTGAGTGCTGCCTGGCCCGCTGGGCTATTTTGTGTTCTCCTTTTGGGGGACAGAGGGAGCGAGAGTTGTTTTATTTTAGTTTCTTGACCATAAAATTTAGATGATTTCAGTAAGATCCAATTAACTTAGTTACTGTTCTGTTCCTATTTGTCATTTAACAGCTTTGTAGGTAGAAAGGGGAGATAAAAGAGTAAATCTGAACTTTGCTGTTTCTTTGCAGACATGACAAAACAGGAGAAGAGGTTGGTTGAAACTAGTTCCCTCAAACATAGACGCTGGTTAAAAAAAAGTCTGGAATCCTCTTGGTGGCAGATCCCTGAATTCTGTCCCTGCAGGCAGGACAGTTGTTGAGATAGACTCAGGCCAGGAGAGCACATTGATCCCAAGACACATGTCTTGTCCAAGGCAGCCTGAGATGAGGTGACCTGGCAACCTTTGGTTATGGGGTTGCCCTCTCTTGTATGGAAAACAATTGGCAATTGTTCAAGAAAACCAAGATAAACGATAATTCATTTATCTAGTATTCTATAGACTAAATTTTATGCAGCTGGGGCTCATTTTTAAAATTAGGTTCCAGGCCGGGTGCGGTGGCTCACGCCTGTAATCCTAGCACTCTGGGAGGCCGAGGTGGGTGGATTGCTTGAGCTCAGGAGTTTGAGACCAGCCTGAGCAAGAGCGAGACCCCGTCTCTACTAAAAATAGAAAGAAATGATCTGGACAACTAAAAATATGTATAGAAAAAGTTAGCCGGGCATGGTGGTGCATGCCTGTAGTTCCAGCTACTCGGGAGGCTGAGGCAGTAGGATTGCTCGAGCCCAGGAGTTTGAGGTTGCTGTGAGCTACGCTGACGCTATGGCACTCTAGCCCGGGCAACAGACTCTGTCTCAAAAAAAATTAGGTTCCAGAACAGATTTAGCCTGTCTTTCTTATGCAGTCTTCTACCGTGTACCTGTCAGCGGGGACCATCGTGATTGTAATTGATGCAGGACAGAATCCTAGACTTCCTTCTGGAGCAGCCACACACCAGTGTCACATATCCAAATTACCTGATAATTGGCAATCTGTTATCTTTTCCCCTAAGCTACTGGCATATATTTATCTTATATTGGCATTGTCTAATAGAAAATGCCACTCACTATTTGCATATGGCTAGGTAAATTTAAATGAATTGAAACTAAATAAACTTTAAAAAATTCAGTTTCTCACTTGCATGGGATACATTTTAGGTGCTCAGTACCCACACATGGCTGGTGGCTGCCCTATCAGTCAGCACATGTACAATATGGTCCCACCTTGTACAAGGTGCTGGACAGTGTGTTAGAGGTGGTGAGGACCTCAGGGTCTTGGCCTGTTGGTAGCCCACCTGGTGTGGTCAGTGCCGTGGGCTCATCTCCAGCTGACTGTCATCCCTTCATCCCTTTGCTCTGATTTATCTCATTTTTAATCTTTTTTTTTTTTTTTTTTGAGAGAGAGGAGGGCTCTCTTTCCTGGGCTGCCTGGAATGCCGTGGCATCAGCCTAGCTTACAGCAACCTCAAACTCCTGGGCTCAAGTGATCCTTCCATCTCATCCTTCCGAGTAGCTGGGACCACAGGTGCGCGCCACCACACCCAGCTAATTTTTAAATTTTTT